CCCGCCGCCCCCCCTCTCCCAAAGCTCGCTTGCTCCCGCTGGCTGAGGTCCTTGGGCGGGCCTTTGAGGCGGCCAACTTCAGCCAGGCTGCCCCTGTGGGTATCCTGCTGGCAGACCACGCAGCCAAGGCACCCCAGGGCAGGCATTCGAGCTTTCCCAAAGACTGTCCCCAGGAGCAGGGACCCCATTATGGTGCCTGCCCAGGTGGGGCATACAGCGTAAGTCTGTCCTAGGGGTGGGGGGCAGACCTTGGTACCCAGGTACCCACTCAGGGGCCTCACAGGACCTGCCAGAAGGGTCTGGGTTCTGCCCAGGGTGGGGCTGGCTGGGGCAGTAAGTCCCCCAGCTCAGACTGCCAGTGCACAGTGACACCTTCCTGAGCCACAGAGCAGAGGCCACGCACTCCTTGGATCCCACCATGGACACAAGGCTTGCTCTGGTGGTTAGAGGGGGACAGCTTATATTTCCGGGCCCGAGAGAGGCAGGTAATCTGGGAGTTCCTGGGCTGCCCCAGGTCCGCAGGCCTGACCAGGGGCCTGACAAAGGACCTGATCCCCCCTGCAGAGCACCCGAACGGCCGCATGGACTTCGCTTTCCCAGGCAGCGCCAACTCCCTGCACAGAATGACCACAGCCAACGCCGCCTACGGCACCCACCTGAGCCCGCACCTGCCGCACCGCATGCTGAGCTCGTCCTCCACCCTCACACGGGACTACCACTCGCTGACCCGGACGGAGCACTCCCACTCGGCCACGCTGCCCAGGGACTACTCCACCCTCACATCCCTCTCCTCCCACGGTGAGTGGCCACCAGCCCTGCCTCCCCGCGTCCCTCCCAGGTTCCAGAGGTGCAGGCTGCAGCTGCTGCCCCAACCACGTGTGCACGTGCATCTGTGCCCACGCAGGCGCCTGCCCCTCACTCTTCGTTTCCCTGCCCTAGGCCTCCCTCCCATCTGGGAAGACGGGAGGAGCAGGCTTCCGCTGTCCTGGGCCTTAGGGCTCCGGAGTCGAGCTCAGATGAAGGGGCTCCCCCACTCCAGGAGCTCACGAGATTCTATAATCCTGGCTGGGCGGCCAGCGGCGCCCTCCTGGAGCCCAGGTAGTACAGGGGTGACCATGCTGTCTCTCCACGGCCATCCCGCTCCATCTGTCATCCGGCCACCAACAGTCACCGCTTGTACCCACAGCCTCACCCTCCATCCATCCACGGCACCCTGCCCACTTCATCCGTGCTGATGCCTAACGTGGTCTCTGTCCCCGGGGGCTGCTGATCTGGGATCGGGGCAGGAGAGGGGCCAGGCCAGCTGAGCAGTATGGAGGAGGGGCTGGCAGCGCACGTGCCCACCCTCTCGGCACAGGCAGGGCCGGCACCCACTCGGGCGACGTGCGGGAGGTGCTGGGTGGCCTGGACAGGGTGTTGCAGGGTGAGTGAGCTGCCTGGCTGTGGTCAGTGTAGACATGCCAGCCGAGTGAGGGGGGCTAGGGCTCCAGCCCCGACTCCTGCCCCGAGCCCCCCATCTCTGGGTCTGACTGTAGCCTCATCTCCAGACTCTCGCCTGACCACTGGGGTGCCTGACACCCCGACCCGCCTGGTCTTTTCTGCCCTGGGGCCTACGTCCCTGAAGGTGAGCTGGCAGGAGCCCCATTGCGATCGGCCGCTCCTGGGCTACAGCATGGAGTACCAGCTGCTCAACGGCGGTGAGCAGCCTCCCCACCAGCTCCCAGGGGTGCAAAGGGCCCCACCCCTACCAGGCCCCCAGGGGTGCAGAG